GTCTGTCCTACAGCCCTGCCTCCAGCAGAGGCCAAGTCCCCAGCCCTCACTTGGACTGACTGTTGCAAAGCTTCCCAAACTGGTCTACCTCAACCCGCAGCATCTATTATCCAGTTTCACCTAGTAGCAAAGGAATCTTCTGGAAATACCTCCTAGAGAGTCAAGTCTCTGCATCAGGCCCTGTCTGGGACCACCCACCTCACCTGCTGGCAGGTGGGTCTGGAGGGCCTGGCACTGTGACCCTCTGCACCCGAACTGCCTCCTGGCGGCGGTTCCTGGGACACCCCTGTGCTCTCCCTGTGACCCATCACGAGTGGGTATGGATCATCCTTGGCCATATCGTCGTCCCAGCGTTAACACCATTACTTAAAAACATGAACTTGTTCAATCCTCCTCCTCAGCAATATCCGAAATCATGGTCATGTGCTCCTTCTATTTCTTCTAGTACACATTCAGGTAACATTCTAATAAATGTTCATGTGTATCATTGCTGTACCACAGTGGGAAGTACTGGCCCACAGCCTCCCTCCCTCCCCGGGCCTCGGCCCTCCACCACGGCAAACGGTAGCCCGGCGCTCGCCCTCACGGGGTGGCCCTCACGCGGCCGCCCTGCGTTCCGCTGGGGAACACTGTTGGGCTTGTTCACCCTATTGCCCAGCAAAGGGCTTGGCACGTGCTTGAGAAATGTTGAACCGTTCATCAATGCAAACCAATCTAGCGGAAGATACTAGAAGGCACGGAGCAGGCAAGTGAGGAGGCACCAGAGGCCCTGCCCAGAAATCCCGAAATCCTCCATCCTCCTCAGAGACCACGGTCTAAAGCTGCACAGCCGGGCTGACCACGAGGGAGACTTACCCCACCTTGTCCTTGGGGGTATTCCCTCCCCTCCTTTGCCACAAAAACGGTTTGCCCTCAGCATGCTTCTCAGACAAGGCAGACATGACCCTCAGTGTCACCTCCCTCAGGTGAGGTCCGGCCAGCTCCCTTCCTGACGGCGCCTCACCAGCCTGGCCACTACCTGCATGTGGGCACTGCAGAGCCTGGCTCCCTCTGCTCGCCGGCAGCAGCTGCCCTCCTCCTTCCCCTGCTGACCACCCAGCAGCGCCCCCCATGGTCCCCAGACAGACACCTCAAAGACCCCACCTCACCTCTGCAGCCTTAATCCTCGCCACTGAATGCTTCCCCCCCAAGGAAGAGAGAAGGAGCGGCCACGGAGCAGCCACGTACCGGGCATGCGGCCCACAGCCTGTCAGGCCTTCACCCGCCCTGCCCCCCACCTCATCCTAACAACCTGTGACGACTGGTGCCATTACTGCCCCTCTGACCTTAGAGCTGAGGGGACTGAGTCACAGAGGTGAAGCCAGTCCCCTGAGTCCACAACAGGCAAGGGGCCCAGCGCCCCTCCCAGCTTCAGGACCTGGTCTCTCTCAAGCCTCAGATGACCATCCCTTCTGGGCCACAGAGGGCAGGGCAGGGGCCTGTCCCCCCGCCTTCCTCTGCCTCAAGCTCCACCCACCGCAGCTGCCACATCCCTATGCCGGTCCTCGGGGCTCTCCAGGCCCCTGGCCTACTCAAGGGCTCTACTCAACCCTCCCTTCTAGTTCCTGCCTCCCAGGTTCTCCTTCCTCCCCCATCTTTCTCGGCAGCAGACAAAACATGTTCTCATAGGTTCCAAAGTTTAAATCCAAGGACAATACAAAGAGCTGCCCTTGAGTCCTGTCTCCTCCCTCCTTGCACGGAACTCCTCAGATGAGCCTTCAGGCCCACTGCCGGCCCTTCTCCCCAGCACACCGTTCTGTCCATTCCTCCTCTTCAGTAGCATGTGATGCTGGGGGCCACTCCGTCCCCCCCAGCCCCCGGTGTCCCACACCCATCCCTGATCTCTGCCCCTCCTCTCCTCTCCCAGCTCCTTCTCCTCTTGACCGCTAATGCTGAGGCAACCAGGTCTCACACCTCGGGCCTGTGGTATGCTGCCAAATGCTTAACAACGGGCTTCCCGGGGCGGAGGGGAGGGGCTGCATATGCGTAGATGCATTTGTTTATTACACATTCCACTCCTGCAAAGGGTTTGTAGTACATAATTCACAATTAACCAGGTATGCAGTACTCTACTATAAATTCATACAGCCAGCTGATTCTCACAAAAGGCTTTCACTGATTCCTGCTGAAATTGCATCCATGGCCAACCTATGTCTGCAACTGACCAATAAGTCTAGTTCTGACATCAAAGTTGGGTGCTATTTTGTTGACCTTAAGGAGTAAGATGAAAGTGAAGCAACGATAACATGTTGGAATCACACTTGTTCATCTACGAGCGACTTCTTTGCTCACCCAGATAATTGCTGTCAAATACTGGGAGACATCATTCATTTTTTGGGCTATCTATAGATGACCCACTTTTAAGTTTAATAGGCAGTATTAACATTTCTTCATCACTTCGTTAAGTCTAGACAATCAACACAACAATAAATCAAGCCTGGATTTGTAGCATTTCCTGCATTCCATGATGTCAGAACTCCCACATCAGATTTCCAGCCACCAGGGTAATGTCCTGAAGGTGGGGTTGGGAACAGAAGCGCCAGGGCACACCACTGTGTAGTGTTTCCACCACCCGGATAGGACAGACACACGTAAGTATAGCTGACTCCTGAACGACTCAGGGAATGGGGAATGGACCCCCGTGCAGTCGAACGTCCCCGTATAAATTTTGACTTCCCCCAATTTAAGTACTAATAGCCTACTGTTGATTGGAAGCCTTATTGTACACCTTGAGATTAACACGTTTTTTTTTTGTTTGTTTTTTTTTTACATTTTATTTATTTGAGATAGAGCATGAGTGGGGTAGAGGGGCAGAGGGGGGAAGGAGAGAGAATCTTACGCGGACTCCCTGCTGAGTTCGGAGCCCTCAGAGATTGGGACCTGAGCCGAAACCAAGACTTGGATGCTTAACCCACTGAACCACCCAGGTGCCCCTGTGTGTTTTATGTGTTATATACTGTCTTACAATAAACTAGAGAAAACATTAAGAAAAACACAAGAGAAAATACACGTACAGTACTGTACTGCATTAAAAAAAAAAAACGCACATAAGTGGACCTGCACAGTTCAAACCCATAATTTTCGAGGGTCAACTATAATCTCAAGAGCACAGATAATAGTCAAATGTCAAGTAATTAGGAAACAATGAGTTTTGAGTGTTTATTGCCTTCACATTTTTAAATTTTGAATTTACATACAGTAAAACTCACTTCTGATGTATAACTCTATGGATTTTGACTCATGTACAGAGTAGTACAACCACCTCAATCAAGGTACAGAATGGTACCATCACCCCTCAATGATTCCCTGTTCTACCCCAGTGTAGTAGAAACATCCTCTTAGGTCCTGGCAAAACACTTTCCCTGTACTTTTGCCTCTTTCAGGATGTCACATAAATGGAATCGTATAGTATGTAGTCTTTTGAGTCTGGCTTCTTCCACTCAGGGTCATGGGTTTCAGACGCAGGGCTGTTGCCGTGCGCATCAATCACCAGCTCACTGCTTCCCGATGTGGAGCACTGCCACGCTGCATGCATGGACCACAGTTTGTCTATCCGCCCCCCAGAGGAAGGACATTTTAATCGTTCCTAGGTTGTGTTTTTGTTGTTGTAGTTTTTTAAAGTTGACATAAGCATTTGTGTACAAGTTTTTGTGTGAATCTTGATGTTTATTTTGGGTAAAATACCAGGGAATGAGACTAGTATGTTAGTTATATGATAAGTATGTAACTTAATAAGGACAAAACTCTATTCCATAGTAGCTGCATCATTTTGCATTCACACCGGGAATGTAGGAGTTCCAATCACTCTGCATCCTCACCCGCACATGGTGATGTCAGGTTTTTTGTGTGCTTAGGTTTTTTATTTTTTTTAGCCATTTGCATAGATAGGTCATAGTATCTTGTAGTTTTAATTTGCATTGCTCTAACAACTAATGATGCTGAGCATCTCTTCACATGCTTGTCACCTGTATATCTTCTCTGGGGGTAATGTCTTTTGAAATCTCTTATTTTTTTTTTTAACTGGGTTGACTTTATTTTTAAGATTTTACTTATTTGAGAGAGAGAGAGAGAGAGAGAGCACAAGACTAGGGAGAGGCAGAGAGAGAAGGAGAAGCAGACTCCCTGTTGAGCAGGGAACCCGACGCGGGACTCTGGGCTCGATCCCAGGACCCCAGGATCATGACCTGAGCTGAAGGCAGACGCTTAACCAAGGCCACCCAGGTGCCCCATGGGTTGACTTTTTTTATTGATGCGTTCTGAGGATTCTTTATATAATCTGGATACAAGCCTTTTTCAGGTATGTGATTTGCACCTATTTTTTCCTTGTTTGTGGCTTGTCTTTATTAATTTCCTTCACAGAACAGGTTTTTAATTTTGATGTATTTCCATTTATTCATTTTTTACTTTATGAATTGTGCGTGTGGAGTTGTATCTAGGAAGTCTTAGCCTAACTCAAGGTCACCAAGATTTCATTTCTCTTTTCTTCTAAAAGTTGTATAGTTTTTCTTTTTCTTTTTTTTTTTTTCAAAGATTTTATTTATTTATTTGAGACAGAGAGAATGAGAGAGAGAGAGAGAGCACATGAGAGGGGGGAGGGTCAGAGGGAGAAGCAGGCTCCCTGCCGAGCAGGGAGCCCGATGCGGGACTCGATCCTGGGACTCCAGGATCATGACCTGAGCCGAAGGCAGTCGCTTAACCAACTGAGCCACCCAGGCGCCCTATAGTTTTTCATTTAGGTCTATTATTGATATGCGGTTAAATTTTGAGTGAAGTAAGATGACAGGTATAGGTTAAGGTTCATTGTAAAAAACATGACCGTCCACTTGTTGCAGCACCATTTATTGAAAAGACAAACGTTTCTCCACTGAAATGCCTTTGTACCTCTGTCAAAAATCCAGTAACTATACTTGTGTGGGTATATTTCTGAATTCTTTATTGTGGTTCATCCATCTATGTGTCTGTTCTTTTTTTTTTAAGATTTTATTTATTTGACAGAGAGAGACATAGCGAGAGAGGGAACACAAGCAGGGAGAGTGGGAGAGGGAGAAGCAGACTTCCCGCCGAGCAGGGAGCCCGATGCAGGGCTCGATCCCAGGACCCTGGGATCATGACCTGAGCCGAAGGCAGACGCTGAACGACTGAGCCACCCAGGCGCCCCTATGTGTCTGTTCTTTGACCGATGCCACCCTGTCTTGAATACCATAGCTTTGTGGTCTTAAAATCAGCTAGTGTGAGTCCTCCAACGTTTCCCCCTCTTTTTCAAGACTGTTTTAGTTATTCCAATTCCTTTCTATCTCCACATAAATTTTCACATCACACTCTTGAGATCTAAAATATTCCTGCTGGGATTGAATTGAATCCATAGATCAATTTGGAGGGGGGTAGATTGTCTTCCAACCCATGAATCCATTTACAGTTGAGGCTTGAAGAACACGGGCTTGAATTGCACGGGTCCACTTAGAGGTGGATTTTTTCCTCAATAAATATGTAAGAGCACTGTAAATGTATTTTCTCTTTCTTGGGTTTTTCTTAATAACATTTTCTTTTCTCTCATTTATTCTAATACAATCTGTAATACACATAACATACCACGTATGTGTAAATCAACTGTGTATGTCATTGCTTATAAGGCTTCTGGTCAACAGTAGGCTGTTAGTAGTTAAGTTTTTGAGAAGTTAAAAGTTACGTGTGGAGGGGCTCCTGGGTGGCTCAGTTGGTTGGGCGACTGCCTTCGGCTCAGGTCATGATCTTGGAGTCCCAGGATCGAGTCCCGCATCGGGCTCCCTGCTCGGCGGGGAGTCTGCTTCTCCCTCTGCCCCTCCCCCCTCTCATGTGCTCTCTCTCATTCTCTCTCTCTGAAATAAATAAATAAAATCTTAAAAAAAAAAAAAGTTACGTGTGGATTCTCCACCACACGGGGGTCAGTACACCAACCCCCACACTGTTCAAGGATCAGGTATATTTAGATAATTTTTATTTCTTTCATTAGTGTTTTAGTTTTCAGCATAACAACTGTGCACATATTTTGCCTCATTTACATGTTTGTTTCAGTGGTATTGTAAATGGTACTGTTTTTATTTTTATTCTTACTTTTTAATGTACTTTTTTTATAATAGATTTATTCCTACGTAATCTCAACACCCAAGGTGGGCCTCAAACTCACAACTCTGAGATCAAGAGTAGCACGCTCCACCGACGGAGCCAGACAGGCACCCCAGTGGTACTGTTTTTAAATCTCATTTCCAGTTGTTCATTGCCAGTATACAGAAATATAATTGATTTTTAGACGTTACCTTATATCCTGTCATCTTGCTAAACTCACTGTCAGTTCTAGATTTTTTTGTACATTCCATGGTATTTTCTACATTGACAATCATGTCATCTATGAATATAGACGGTTTGATTTATTCTTTTCAATCTGTAGGCCTATTCATTTTCTTGCCTTACTGCAGTGCCTAGAACTTCTGGTACAAATATTGAAAAGGAGAGAAGAAGAGAGTAGAGGGCACTGGCATTCTTGCCTTCTTTGTAATCTTGGGGAAAAACAAATCAGTCTTTGACTATGAAGTTTGATTTTTGTTATAGGTTTTTATGTGGTTTCCTTGTATCAGGTTGACAAAATTCCCTTCTATCCCTAATTTGCTGAGAGTTTTCATTATGAACGGATATTGAATTTTGTTACTTTTTTTCTGCATCTATTGAGATGAACATGTGGCTTTTTCTTCTTTAGTCTGTTAATCTGGGGAATTGTGCTGAACTAGCCTTGCATTCCCAGGGTAAACCCCTGCTGTATTCGATTTGCTAATATATTCTTTTTTTTTTTTTTTTTAAAGATTTTATTTATTTATTTGACAGAGAGAGACACAGCGAGAGAGGGAACACAAGCAGGGGGAGTGGGAGAGGGAGAAGCAGGCCTCCCACAGAGCAGGGAGCCCGATGCGGGGCTTGATCCCAGGACCCTGGGATCATGACCCGAGCCGAAGGCAGATGCCTAACAACTGAGCCACCCAGGCACCCCTTGCTAATATATTCTGTTGACAAGTTCTGCACTGAGGATTTTAGTAGAGACCTTAGGAAAATCTAAAGTCCTTAACGCTGCCTGTAAGATCTCCCCTCCCCAGTGATCCCTGACCTTATGGAATGAGTTTGGGAGTGGATTCTTCTATTTTCAGGAACAGACTATAGAACTGGTATTGTGTGATAGAATTTGCCAGGGAAACTGAGTCTGAAGATTTCTTGTGGGAAGGTTTTAAACCAATCCTGGATTATGCCGGTGGGCCTGATGTAATCACAGGGGCCTTAAAGTGGAAAAGGGAGGCAGGAGAGAAGGTCAGAGTGGTGTCACATGAGAAGCTGAGTGGCTTTTGCTGGTTTTGAAGATGGAGGACAGGGCCACAAGCCAAGGAATGCAGGCAGCCTCCAGGTGCTGAGAAGGCAAGGCAACGGATCCTACCCAGCGCCTTGAGGAAGGAATGCAGCCCGGCCGACGACTCTGGACTCTGGGTTTTGGCCCATGAGAACAGTGTCTGACTTCTGAGCTACAGAACTACGGTAGAGCAAATCTGAGTTGTTTTAAGGTATGAAGTTCGTGGTCATTTATTAGAGCAGCAGTGGCAAACTAATACAATGAAAAACAGTAGTTTCAAGGAACTCGTCCATCATTTCTTCTGAGTTGTCAAATTTATGGACCTAGCATTGTTTGTAGTGCTCAATCATTATCCTTTTAATGCTTGCAGGGTCTGCAGTGATATCCTCTTTTTAATTCCCGAGATGGGTAATTTGTGTCTTCTTTTTTCAAAGAACCACCTTGCATTTCCTTGATTTTCTCTAACTTTGCTGTCTTCAGTTTCATTGGTTTCTGCCCCTTTATTATGTCCTTTTCTTCTGTTTTGGTTTACAAGAAGCTCTTCTGTTGCTCTTCTTCTGCTGGTTTTTAAAAATTACTTTTGCTTTGGGGCGCCTGGGTGGCTCAGTCGTTGAGCGTCTGCCTTCGGCTCAGGTCATGATCCCAGGGTCCTGGGATCGAGCCCCGCGTGGGGCTCTCCGCTCGGTGGGAAGCCTGCTTCTCCCTCTCCCACTCCCCTTGTGTTCCCTCTCTCACTGTGTCTCTGTCAAATAAATAAATACAATCTTTAAAAAAAAAAAATTACTTTTGCTTTTTTAATATGTCATTTAATTTTAAGTTTGTGGAATTTGATTTTGACAGGAGCTGTGTCGAACAAGCAGCTCACAGCACCTCGGACACCCGTATGGCGCGCGCTCCTCACAGGCGGCCTCTCCCCTGGGCTGCAGACTGGCTCTGGCTGTCAAGTCGGTGTCCCTGGCTTGAATGGCCAACTCAGTATGGACGGGGCCAGGTCCCAGTATTCCCCTGCTTTTCTGCCTTCCCACTTCTGAATGGGAAGCCAGCCCCAGAGTGAGGCTTCATTCACCCTTGACCCCTCTCCTCTCAGCCACATGCCGTCCGCGAGCGCGTCCTCTCAGCTCTACCTTGGGAACACATCTGGGTCCGAGCGCTTTGCACCGCCTTCTCTCTCATCACCTCGGATCAAACCACATCAACTCCCACCTGGCTCTGCAGCAGACACAGCGCTGGGCCCCCTGCCACTGTCCCTGCCCGTGCTGCCTGTGTTCACCACGCAACAAGAGTGATCCCGTTAAAGTGTCAGTCCTGTTAGGCCTCTCCTCGGCCCCTAGCTCTCCAGCGCACCACTGCGAAGAGAAAGCTCAAGTCCCGGCCACAGCTAGCAGGAGCTGCCCTGCTGTGCTCGCTCTTCTCTCCGTACTGGGACTCTTGCTCTTCCTCCGACACCTGTCTCTGCTCTCTCTCTGGTCTACAAAGCACCGCCCCAGACCCCCACAGGGCTCACTGCTTTGCCTCCTTCTGTTCACACTGCATCTCCTCAGAGAAGCCTTCCCTGACCACTAGGTCCAAAAAGGGAGCCCCTAACACTCTCTCCCCTTGTACTTTATTTTCCTTGGCATTCACTGCTGGAATGCTATTAAATGCTATTTTTCTCAGCATTCGCATACTTGTCCCGGTGCGCCCCTCCCACCACTGTTCTTCTGACCACCTCCTGCCCTAGAACAGGACCTGGTGGATGCAATTGTACTAAGTCAGGATGAAAGAGTGAGCAAATGACTTCGCAGCAGCCAGGAGAGTGCCTACAAGCCAGCCCTCGCTTCCCCTCCATCAGGACAAGGGCACGCTCCTTAGCAAGGCTGACGAGGTGCTAGACAAAGTGGTCCCCTCGACCCCTGTGGCTCCATGTGGCCCCTTGGCCCCTCACCCCATCACTTCTTTCAGTTCTACTGAACATGTGGGTTCCTCCATCGGACCGCTCTCCCTCAGCACAGGTCTTCCTCTATCTTCTTGGGCCTGAAACCCTTTCCCTACCTCAGCTGGCTTGTTCTCCACGTGTCCTTCAGGTCTCAGCTTGGCTATCACTGGCCTCCTCTGACCACCCCCTCAGCTCCAACTGACCGAGGCCTCCCCCACCAGAGTACATGTCACACCGCTGCCGCCTCCCCCACCAGAGCGTGAGCTCCCTGACGGCAGGGCTTGTGACTTACCAACCTCAGAACCCTGGGACCTAACCGAGTGAGTGTTCAACAAACACAATCTGAATGAAAGAATAAATGAACAAGTGAATTAATGAAAACCAAGTCTGCTGAGGGGTAGGGTGGGGACGGCAGACGACCACTCCACTCCCCATCCCTGTCATCCTCCCACAGAGAGGGCCTCATTCAGCCTTGCTGAGGAGCAGGGAAGCAATAATCATCCAGGGTCTAGAGGGTGTCAGCCAGTCAGAGTTCTCCGTCCTGTCCTTGCCATAAGGCCCCAGCACATGACAAGGGTGGGAGAAGTGGAGAGTAGCCTCTAGGGCCTGGCAGGAAGAAGTCACATCATCCTGAGTTCTGGTGGCTACAACCCCCATTACCACTTTCTGCCTGAGCCCAGGTCCTACTTCTTGGCCACGGTTTCCAGGATGGCATCCAAAGGGAGGACAGAGAAAGTCTCCTTTTCGCTTGCAGACCATCAGTGATAAGCTGGGTGGTGTAACCAGAACCCACAGCCAAGCAGCCTGGGCCTGAGCCCAAAGCCCTGAGTCACACTGCTGCCTTTGTCCAGGAGGTTTTGCTTCAAGGTCCAGAAGGTCAGAGGCTAGTAAGAGGAGTACAGACCAAACTTCCCCCTTCCCTATGTCTTGTCTGTGTGGATGTGGGGTGGGGAGGAGGGCAGTAGCAGTCAAACTACCCGGCCTGCATGCTCAGCACCACGGCACTGGTACGGCTCCCTCACCACGGCCCCCGGTTGCTCCTTCAGTCCCACTGACACGCCCCCGCCTCCACTCCCCACAAAGAGCCCAGGGCCCAACGTCTCCTGTTAGCTTTGTTTCTTTTTTACGATTTTATTTATTCATTTGAGAGAGAGCGAGCGAGCATGAGCAGGGGGAGGGGCAAAGGGAGAGGGAGAGAGAAGCAGCCTCCCCGCTGAGCAGGGAGCCCAATGCGGGGCTCAACCCCCCACAACCGGGATCATGACCTGAGCCGAAGGCAGACGCTCAACCGAGCCACCCAGAGGCCACCCGCCACTGGCTTTATAGTTAAACACTATTTTGTGCCACATGCCTGAGGGTGGAGAGATACTGGGGTCCTCAATTAAGCCCCCACTAGTGTTATTCCTTCCATGGGGACCCATTCCCATATCCCAGATCAGATCCTGGTGGTCAAAGAGGACTCAAGGACTCTGGGGAAGCCCAGCTCCAGCTGCTACCATCCGAGGCCAACACAAGTCCCCCTCCACAGCTCAGCAGGTCCTCACCAGCCCTTGCTCAAAGGTGCAGCTGCTCCCACAACCTCAGAGCTCACCTCTGTCAGGACGAGGCCCATACCAGACTTGTCCCCAACCCGAGCCTTCGTTCCCAGCATGTGCTGGGGCAGCCTTATCACCCACCCCCCTTTCTCAAATTCACCCACAGAGTCTGCTGACACCATCTTTAAAGGGACCTTTGACCTTGACCCTAGCCAGGCCCCAGCACCTCCTTTCTGAACTCTGCCCTGCTTCACCACAGAGCAGCTGTTCTGCCACCCATCCTGGTCCTCCCACCCCTGCCTGTCAAATTCAACACTATCACCTTCTGAGCCACATATTCAAGCTTTCCACAGCATGTTGGAACCAAATCCTAGCTCTGCCTCTCAAAAGCTGTGTGACCTCAGGGGACCATTCAGCCTCCCTGAGCCATGATTTCCTCATCTGTAAAACATACTCAGAAGGTGACTTAAAGGTTTTAAAGGCAATGAGGCAGAAAGTACCCAGTACATGGTAGACTTTTGGGTCTGATCCCCACGATGCCTGAGCCATGAGGCTTCCTACCCCGGCAAAACAGGTTCCTGCTTCCCTCGTGCCTTCCTGGGGGGGGTTGTGTGCAGGCGACAGCTCTCTCCCGAGCTTCCTGTGTGTTGTGGCATGAGGTGGGCCTAAGAGGGTGTGAGGCCAAGCCAAGGGACTTTGGGGAAGGAAGCCACCCACTGCCCTATATTTGTGCAGGCCTCAGTTTCCCCCTGAGCTCCGTGAAGCTGAGCTTTCTACAGGCCAGACCAGGAAGGGGAGATTTCTACACAGAGGCCAGGAGGGGCTGCCTAAGCAGCAGGAGTGAGCCTGTGATGCACTGGGAAAGGCTGAAAAACAAACGCACCAGAATCCAAATCAGGAAAGCCCAGGGCCGGGGTTGCCATGGCAACCTGCAGCAGGCTCCAGGCCTGGCACAGGGCTCCTGTGGGGGGGGAGCCGGGACTTGCCGGGCTCGGCTGCCCCCGCCTCCGAGGCCACCCCCGCAGTGCACCTCGGTGGACACGGGGGAGGGGCGAGGGCACAGAGGGCCCTGTCAGGCGGGCCTTCTTCCAGTTTCAGGGAGATCACACCTCTCCAAGAGCGAGGCCTACACCCAAGGGTCCTCCGGAGTGCCGCAGGCCACCCCCAGTCCTTCCAGCACCCTGCCCCCAGCCTGTAAGCTGCTGGGGCTGACACACAGCCAGGGGCGTCAAAGCTATGTCTGGGGCACAGGGGGCAGCGAGATGATCCCCCAGACCTTCCGTCAGAGCCAGGTGGGGGAAAGAACAAGCAGGGCGCCTGACCCTGCTGTAGTGCTTTATGCATGTTTTCTCACACTTAACGGCACTCCCCTGCGACAGCTGAGAAAACAGGCCCAGGGGAAGGCAAATGACTTGCCAAGGTCACAGAGCTACTGGGTGGGGAAGAGCTGGGTCGCAGCCAGGGTTTTCCAACTCCTGAGCCCAGACCCTTCCCATGGGGCCTATTACTGGATGCCCTGGGCTGATCATCCGCCGTGTCATCAGGGGCTCCTCAGGTGCCTATCTACCCAACCTGGGGGCTCCTAGATACGGTCCCCCAACCACAGGACTGTGTCCAGTCTGCAGAGACACACAACAGACAACGGCCCTCATGCCTCCATTTAATGGCCAAGCCAGCACCACCCAGATGATGTCCAGGCCCCAGTAGGGAAGTCCTCCCTCCTGGCTGGTATCCCCTGAAGAGCCCAGCCAAGCTGGTGCCCATCAGCCTCACTAAAGTCCCAGTCCAGTCCCAGTGTTGGGGAGCAGCCTCATCTCAACTCCTTCAGCAAGCTGTTGATGGAGCCCAGCAGTTCCCGGAAGTAGCCCTCATCCTCACCGTCTCGGAGCTCCAGGGCGGCCAGAGCCTGGTACTCAGCCTGCAGGCTGACCAGCGTTCTGCTGAGCTGGGGGTCCTGACGGTAGCGGTCCCGGCAGGTGGCCAGGAGGGCGCCCAGCGTCTGCAGCACCTTTTCTCGGGCATCGTGCTCAGGGAGGGCCAGGAGGTGGGCGGTGATCTCGCACCAGCCCTGCTCCCGCAGGCCCGGCAGGAGGTGCACCTGGCGATACTGCTGCAGCTTCTCTGGGGACGTCTCCCACGTCAGGTCGGCCTCCTCCTCAGCAAACATCTGCCGTCCGCACATCCAGGCACCAGGGGTGGGGTTGGGGGACAGAAGACACAGAGCGGTCAGGGCCGCCAGTCAGATAGGAAGGCAATGTGGCTGACCCATCTTCCTCCATCCTTCTGGGCCTCAAAGACCCAACATGGGAGAGGGCCAGCTGGATTCACGGCTTCACACGGGCTCCCCCACCCATCCATCCAGAGGTTCATTTGTCTGTCCATCCATCCACTCATCAAAAACAACTGCAATATGCCAGAGAAACCAAGATGGAGACACGATCCCTGCCCTCAAGGAGCTCAGGGTCTAGCAGGAGAATACAAATTAACTGCGTAATTCCTAAGTAGCACAAAAACTTTAGTTCAGCAGTGCACCGTGGGGGCCAACAGTCTGGGTTCGAATTCCTGCTCCACCACTGACAGCCGGACGGCCTGGGGCTGGCACGGTGTCATCTCCTGTGTGACACACAGCCAGGGCCCCGCACACAGCACCCCCGGCAGCGGGAGCTCGGGTATCAAGTTAGAGTCACACCGTCTGTACCTCAGAGCACGTGAGCTGTACGTACGGCGGCGGCGGCCTCACCTCCACTAGACCCACCCCCTCAGAGGAGGGAGGGCACAGCGCAGAGAGCAGGATGGCGCTTCCCTGAGTCTGGAGGGCTGCGTGGGAGCTGTCCAAGCGGACAAGGGTGGAGGGTCCGCACACAGGGGGTCGCAACAACAGGCTGAGGCCCACCTCCTTTGTTAAGAATGTCAGGCTGTCCTGGTCCGTGGGGCGTGAGGGTCCGGCTAGGCCCAGAGCACAGAGCCCTGGCTGTGTGTGGCCTTCATGCCAAGGGCCTGGGGAGTTGAGACAAGTTTGGGCAGAAAGTCACAAGCTTGGCCGGTGGCTGTCAAGTACAGAGACCCAGCCTCATCAGCACAATATGGTGGGAGTCATGGCTGCCAGGCTGCCAGAGGCAGACATGCCTGAAACCTGACGAGTGACCGGCTTCTTCCCAATGTCGGGGGAAGGCTACACAGAGGTGGAGGGTGAGCAGGGGTGGAGATGTGCTTTACTGGCTGTACTGAATGTACCTGCAAGGAGAAAGAGGAATCTCTGCCCTTACTCCAGGTGAGAACGAGGCTGCCGAGGACAGGGAAGACAAGAGGAAAGCCCAGGCAAAGAGCAGGGGCCACAGAGCACCACCTGATGGCCTTGGGGTCTGTCAGGGCTGGTGGAGGAAGCAGGGACAGGCAGGGATCAGCATCCTGGCACAGAAAAGGACGAGAGGGCTCTGACAGTCCTGTCCTAAGCTACCCCGCGTGCCCCAGCTGCACCTCCGGAACATCCAAGTCCCCACTGCCCTCGGCCTCTACCCCACGTCCACTGCTCCTCACTGCACCAGTCAGCCCCCTGCCTCCCACTCCCGACCTGCCTCCTCCAGCCGGCTGACAGCAGACTGCCGTCCAGCCCCACACCCTGCACAGCTGGGCATTTCTGATGTTCGTAACTAATCCCTTCCCAAGGACTTCAAGGCCCCGCAGGGTCCACCCCGACCTGTGCTTGGCCTCATCCCCACACACGCCCTCACCCATGCACCTGTCACACGAACTGTCCCCCAGAGCCTTTAGGGTGCAGCTTGGAGGCGCACTCCCACCTAACTCCAACTCCACAGTTAACTCACCCCTCAGATCTCACTGCCTTCCCTGACTTGCCAGAACAGGTCAGAGTCTCCCAGTTGTGAGCCTCTGCAGCCCACATGCTCCAGGAGCTACTGTGATGAAAGTCTGCCCCAAAGCACCAGGAGGGCAGGGACTGTGGATCTAGACCAGCACCGGGCAGGACACACATCCAGTCAACACTCGTGGAAGGAACCAGTGGGTGGGTCACCCGTGTCCCTTCAGCTCCACAGAGGCAGGAATGGATGTGGACTCATGACCAGAGGCCAGCATCTCATCTCTGTAGAAGCAACAATCTGAGAGGTGGGTCCACTCTCCGTGGGAACTCTGCAGTGCAGCTGCTACTTTCCCACGACACCCTCAAGGTGTAGGGCACCTCCAAGGGCACCCTGGCACGCCTCCACCTCACGCAGCTCTGGATCCAGCCCCGGGCTCTTTCTGAGGAACGGCAAGCACAGAGAAGCTCCGGCTGCCTCAAGCACAGTCTGGCTGACACAGTCCTGAGCTCACTGGCTGGCTGAAACTCCTCCACCGTCCTCCCCACCTGCAGAAGGACAGTTATCTCTGTACTCTCTGCACAGAGACACCAGTGTTCCCAGCACCCCGAGCCTCAAGGTGAGCTCTGGGGGCCAGCTGACTCAGGTAGCTCTCCGGTGATACACCAATGCTGTGGCACCTGCCACACCAGGACTGGGGGCAGCAAAGAGACACCGAATTCACCAGAGGAAAGAGGTCAGTTTCTCCTGGGAAATGCCAAGCCGACATGCAGGTCCTGCTCCAGGCTTGCTGGCCTATTGCCAGGAAGTCAACTGTGCACAGGCCTTATTAACTGGATGTGAGCACCACATGGCTGCCTGCTGTTCTGGGTTTCTGCAGCTTGGAGAGAGAGAAAGAGGGAAAGAGAGAGAGGGAGAGAAGAAGAGAGAGGAGGGGGGAGCGCGAGAGGCGGAGAAAGAAGCAAAGGGAATGAAAGACAAGGCAGGCCCGGAGAGTCAGCGCCCACACAACAGCCACTAACAGACAGAGAAGCAGCTCTAGACAACTCTGACCCTCAGGCTGAGGCAGGGGCAGGCGGGCGGGCCCGGGGCCTCTCAGCCTCAGACACTCAGTGGTGGTGCCGGCGGCTGCCCAGCCCTGCTCCCCGAATCCGCAGGCAGCTGTTCTAGGGAGAGTGTGGCCAGAGAGGCAGCTGAGAAAGTCCTGCTAACGCTCTCTGCAGCCGCTGCATTCAGAATCCAGACCTGGCTGGCTGCACTCTCTTCTTAATTAAGACACCTTTCAGGCTCACAAAGACCAAAGTGGGTTGGACTCTCCTGCCAGGTGGCAACAACAGGGTTCCCTGGGCCCCTGGAGGGCGGCCATTCTGAGCCCTTGCCCAGGGCCAAAGCTCCCAGAGGAGGCACCTCCATGTTTCTAGGCTCTAAAGATCTAAGATCTAAATCTCAAAATCTAAACCTAAAAATCTAAAGATCACGTTTCTAGAATCTAAAGATTCAGCATTATTCCAGCCTCTGGCTAATTGGGTGTTCCGGCTGCTTCGAGGGCTCCCAGACACAGCTGCTCCATCCCACCTGCTCCCCATCACCCCACCCTAGGCTTTAGCCAAATGACCTGTCATTCCATGAAGGGCCGATCGTGGCCATTTCTGGCCCTCCATCACGCTGGCACACTCTGCCCTGCACCCCTCGTCCCCCCCCACCAGCGCCCCCGCCCCTTCCCCTCCTCACCAGACCTCAGGTTTCAGTTTAGCCGTCACTTCCCATGGGACACCCTCCCTGAGGCCTCAGAAATTCTGGGTTCGGGGCCCCAGGGAGGGGCTCCCACAGCCTCCCTGTCTGCCCAGCACAGTCTGACACGTTTTCTCGGGAGCACCATTAGGAGGATGGAAGGCGGGCTGGAAGAGACGTGGGAGGAGGCCAGGGCCAAAAGGCCAGAAGCAAAACAAAGCAAAGTGACGTGGAGGCACCACAGGTCCGGGCACTCACCTTTTCAGTGACCAGGTCATAAAGCAGAGTGACCACGCGCACGGCCAGCACCTCTGTGCCCTTCGCCTGCACCAGGCTCCTCAGGACCTGCAGCCCCCCCAGTTTCAGGAACTGCTGCTGGGCGTAGGGGAAGTGCCGCAGAAGGGAGCACAGCGCAAACAGGACCTGCAGAGGGTAGGAGCCACATGGAGCTGGGCCTGCTCCGGGACCCAGCAAAGGCAGCCAGAGGTGCCCCCACAACCCCAGCCCAGCCTCCATTCTTCCCGGCCCCACCCGCCCCCCTCAGGTCCAGCTCCACCCCAGAACACAGGTCTGTGACAGCCAGAAGAGGGGTCAGACCCCTCCGACATTGCCCCATGGGCAGACAGAATCCCACCACAGGAACCCAGAGGGTGGTACCCCAGACTATTATGGGAGCTGAATGTAGGCCTCCAGATGCCTCGGCAAGCGGCCATGCTGTGTGAGGTGAGTGGGACCTCTTCCCTGTATGCCAGCCAGTGGATGGATGACCACTCAGGTCCCCAAGGGTGACAGGGACAGCCTGAAAAGGGACCCTTGCCTTTCAGGCTCCACAGATGAACTGGGGTCTGGACAAGAGGAAGGGAGCAGATACATACCTTCTTCTTTGCAGGGAGAGGCTGCTCTGTAGCCAGGATGACCAGCAGCTTCTGTAGGGCTCCCCCTTCAATGGCCTCTACTTGGACCTTTGGGTTGCTGGAGGGAAAGCACAGGACAGCATGACACTGCACCTCCTCACCAAGGTGGGGGCACGCCACTGTGTTCAGTCCAGGGATCTGGGTGGTTAGGGGGATGATAATGTCCCAGCCATTGCCTGGGGAAAATTAGGTGCTCAAGGGAGGGTTCCCACTTGGGACAAGCCCGAACTTAGCTAGGTGAACAGGTGAAGGGCTATACGTCCACCTGGGTACAAAGGCCCATGGCCAAAATGACAGGGCCAACAGCTCTCACACTGCCCTACTACCCAGGAGCCAACGGGCTGGAGTGATCTGGGAAGAGAAATCACCTCCACCCTTTTAAGATCTCCTGATGCTAAAGGCGCTACTCAGTGTCCCTCCCACGAAAGCCTTCCTTCACACTCCCCAGGCCTACATTGGTTCTTCCTCCTTCCATCACCCCAGGCAATCACACACTGGGGGGCAATTACTAAAAGGTCTGTTCTCTGAGCATGAGCTCCTCCAGGCCACGTGCTGGGACTTGCTCCTCTTTCCTCACCTGGGTGGAGCACACAGACAACATGTGGTCAATGCTTGTGGGAAAAAGCAAGAACGAAAGAGATCCAGGCAGCCTCTTAACCTGAGCAGATCTTAAAACAGGAGCAACCTAGGTGCCTCCCCACTGTGAGAGTAGCTGCTGTGATTGCCGCCGTGTTCTCAGCATGTTCTCAGCGCTCAGCACACAGCCTACGCCCTGCGGCCCAGGAAAAGCGGGCCAGAATGAATCAACACACAGTGCACAACCAGGACTGTACCAACCAACACACAGCAACACTGTAACACTCAAAACCTAGAGCTGCCTCTCCAACTCCTCTTCCCATTCTGGGCTGGAGAAAGAGAGAGGAGGTTCAAACATTCAGGCACAACTCTCCTGGACGGAAGCATAGGGGCCTGGCTGGTGAGACCTCCACAGGGCAGGGTGCCAGGCAGGAGACATGTCTGGGAACCTCTTGCTTTCCAAGATCAAATTATGATCAATTAGGGAGGAAGTGACAAGCACAAGGACCTGTGTAGTCAGGCCTTCAAGGGGGGTCAAGGCTCCCTCGCCAGACACTTAAGAGGCCTCAGAGAAGAAAAGCCGGAAGCCAGAAGGAAAGGGAGGGGCCAGACCAGAGGTCACAGAGTGGCTCTCACACTCACCCAGACAGCCCACAAAGGGCACTGAGTCTCTTCTTGGCTCTGGCTGCTTCACCTTAGCAAGGCCACGAGCTCCCTGGGGACCCAAAGAGCACCTGTTCCTCCTAACCCCCAACCTCGGCAAGGGGCCCTCATGGCATCGTGGAGAGTGAAGCAGGGCCTGAGACCCAGAGGAAGTGGGAGGCAGGGAACAAGAGAGTTCACACTGCACTCGCAGGAAAGGGCCTGCCACACAGCAGGTGCTCGGGCCAAGCTGGCCTGATGGCGTGGTGATGGGGCCCCATCCTACCAGGCACCAGCTTCAAGTTTCAAAGAAGACCCAGCACGCTGAGCCAGTTTTCCTGCTCTAAATGGGGGGTGCATGGGTCCCTCTGCATCCTCTCAGCCAGAAAGGACGTGCAGGGTGGGTGCTAGCCTGTCCCACCGCAGCTCCACTGGCGTGTCTCAGGGGCAGCCTGGCAATGGGCCAGGGTCTCTGGGGAAGGGAAGCTGACAGCTCCTCTCCAGACAGGCAGGTCGGCACCAATGCAGGGGGGCTGGGGAGCTGAGCCTCTCCCCTGCCCCCTGCTTCCCCCACTTGAGAAAGGCAGCTGCTTCATCAAAGCGTGAGCTAATCAGGACTGTCTCTGCCATCACATGCCTGAGGAACACTCACCCGCAACAGGCAGGGTCTTTTCTAGGAAAAGAGGACCATGCTGAGAAATTCACACAAACGTCAAAAGCTGCCTCCCAAGGAAGGGGGGCTGCGAGACCCAACCATCACATCAGCCTCACAGGGAGCACTATGCATCATGGGCCCACACAGTGGCAGGGACAAGGTCCTCCAAAGAAAGCACATGGAACTTTGTGCTTGTCTATGGATCTGCTGAGAACAAAACCTAGAGATGAGATCATCACCCGGCCAACCCCGGAAGACAAGGGGTGTCCTAGGAGATCCACTTGAGCATGCTGGGTACAGGGACCCGCCAGGGCACCACCCAGAGGAGCAGACCTGTCACGAATAGGAGGCAGTGTTGGGAGAGAGGGGAACTGTGCTCACCCACATCTTACTTGTTAGGAGGGGAGAGAAGGCTCAAACCCCTAAAGGAACCAAAGCACCGACAAGAAACGAAGTACCAGGGCCTAAAGGGGAGGGCACATACTGTGTAGGCAAATCCTCAGGATCCTCCAAAGAGGAAATAAACTGACTGGGAGGAAAGGAAAGATGCCAAAAGCCAGTAAGAGATATGGCTTCCTGGGTACTTCTTGTCCCCGGGACCCTGATGTAAGTGACAGAGGGCCATACAGCAGTCTGTCCTGGGAAAGATGTAGAGGCAAGCCGCTGCTAGGCAGCTGCTCAGGGAAGCCCCACATGCAGGACGGGTCTTTGGGGAAGAACAGCAGCTCTCTAGCACTGAACAAGCCAGGATCCACACAGAGGAGAGAGACCACACCACCAGATTTTACTTAGAAGTTACAGAGGGAATGAACAATATGGAACATTAGGCCAGACCAAGTGGCTCTGAACCTAAGGCCGGTGGGGGTTCTGAGAAAAAACAGGAAGGTCTGGGCTGGAAGAGCCAGGAGGGCTGCACTGGAGAAGAGACACTGCAGGAGGCGGAAGAAGGTAGCTTGTGGACAGGAGGAGGAAGGGCAGGTGCTCAGGGAAGAGCATGAGTGTGTATGGAGAGGTGAGACCACTGAATGAACAGCTGCCCTGGAAAGTCATGGAAATGGGGCCAAGAGGTGCAGTTGACAAGTAGGTGCAGATCAGGAGGTCTGCTGGTTGGGAAGGATGATGCAGGACCCAGACCCTGCCCAGCCAGCAGAACCTGCTCCTGCTCCTCCTTCCTCAGCAAAACCAAACCCAAAGTAGAATGAAGAGTTGATGACAAGCTCCTTTAAGCCACACAGAAACCAGAGAGGGCCCAGGAGCAGGACAGTGGCCCTGGGGACAGGAGATGAGATGGTGGAACACTCTGAACCAGGCACAACTTACTAGTCCCGGGTCAGGTCGTCTGTGGCTATGTGGTGTGAGCCTGTATCTGCCCAGCATCCCCTCTGTCCCACCTCCCAGTAATGACACTCTTGCCTCCCTTCCTTTGAGATACTGTTCCCTCTCCCACTCTTTATGATCCTGATGGGGTGGGTCCCAACTCCCAAAGCCACAGAGAAGGGCTTGCGGATTAGGTGCTGATCCACCATGGGTCACCCAGGACTGGGCAACCAGAGCCCTGAGTCTACAATGGAGTCAGGACAAAAAGAAGCTCTTTTCTCCGTAAGATAGGCTGCTACCAAGCCAGGAGCACCTACAGTCATGACAGCAGTGGCTGGATCCCCCCCCATCCCCAAGGAGAGAAGCTCATTAAGGTAGGACAGAATAGAACTCACACAGAAAGAAACCAGAGGAAAAAAGTGAAAGCCCAGTACTTTGTTACTTGCTGAAATCACTTTCATAAGGCAATAAATCTACTTTTCCACCTGCAGCAGAGTCCTGAAGAACCTGGGTGAGGAGAGCAGGCCCATCGGCTAAACGCGGGCCTGTGGCCAAGCGTGGCCTCAGCAGCCCTGGGCCTTTTCACCTGACCAACTTAAAGGCAGGTAAGGTGCCCATGTAAGTCTGGGCCCTACGGCAGACTTCAGTGGCTCCATATACACTTCAGGGGTTCTGTACAATACCCTCCGACAACCGTCTTTCAGTTCTGCCCAGCTGAGGGGCTAAGGAACACAGCAGAGGGAAGGTGGGGAAAATGAGGAAGGTAGAGCTTGTGTTTCCAAATGACACTCAGTCCAGCCAGGCAGGGACAGGTGAGCTGGGCATTCGAGCAATCTGCTGGGGGGGGGGGGGGGGGGGGGCGGGGCGGGCAGGTACCAACATGCTCTCAGAACCTCTCCCTCCCCCAGCAGCTTAGCCTTGGGCTCTGAATGTTCATTACTCTGTGCTCTGGGGGATGAAATGCCCCAAACAGCTGAGTGAGGTTAGGGGATGTACAAGGGCCAGGGCCTGGAGAACCCTTGGGGGGAAGCCTGTGACCAAGGGCTGATGACCTTGGGCAAGTCCCTTCATTTCTATCTCCTCACCTGTGAGGCAGAGCTAAAAATATCTTGTGTTAAAGATATAACAGCTAACGAACGAACGCCAAAAGCAGCCAACTGCAATGTGATGGAAACATTACAATTAGGGTGGGTTTGCTACAGAGATCCCAGACTATATCCTCGAGAACACCGATGTCCCGGGCACGTATATGTTGGCCTCATCTGCCTCCTGCCTACAGACCCGTGCAGGGGGAGGGGTGGAAAGGTGGTTCTTGCTGGCTGGAAGGTAGGGAGCCTGACAGTTGGGGATTTGAGTGTGTGAAAAGGGCAGGGGCCTGGCTTGCCTCTCAGCGACCTCAGTGATGCTGGTGTGCTCAAAGTCAACAGAAGGATATTAAGGACGTGGCTCGTCTCTGACGAGATAAATGAGACTAAACCTTGTTCAGGGGGCTAAGCCGGCTGGACTGAGTAAATACCATTAGGACTTGGATTACTGGGATGTTCACAATCAGCAGGCAAGTCAGCTGTCTGTATGCAGAGGGATGCCAGCAGCTGCTACTTTGTAAATCTTGGGTGGGGCTGGGGGGGGTAGGTCACAGAAATGGAAATGATTACATTTGCAGAAACCAAACAGTTTGGGTCAGGGTGACCGATGTAGGCGATCTGTCAAGGGTCAGAGATATTTCAGCTAAGCAAAGCTGAGCAAGTGTTGGGGGGCAGTCTGAGGGAAGGTGGTTCAGCTGATCCCAGGGTGTACAGCCAAGCCCAGCCATGGGCCCCATGGCAGTGCCACCCACGAGATGCCCTTCTCCCTCTCTGGCACTCAGG